CTGTTTGTATTATATTTTTTATCAAACTACGATGGCCTAAGAATAAGAGTTTATACGATACCGCATGTACCATCACTTCTTTGCACAGATATCTTACCATCGACAAAACTAATCCTTGTCTTGCAGTATTCTACGAGTACTTGACATCTGTGTTCTAACATCGAAGAACGACGCTCTATTCTACGCCAGGGATAAAACATTTGCCTTGGCGAAGCTTTCGTAGAATATCCAAAGTTGTTTTCGTGTCGCCACTGAGACGTTTTGTATCGGTATGAGTCGCTGAGCTCCATAAAAGTATGAGACTAAATAATACTAGTGTATCTTGAATTTACTTAGTTTGGCCTCCTTTTCCAAAAAAGGTATGAAAATTCCCCCTATAAATCGTTAATAGAAACCTCTTTCAAAAGGCCAGCACGTGCCCAAAATATAACAAAAGAATACACATTCAGAAAACGATAGATTCGATAAAAGAATACCGTAAAAGACATTAGCACTAGGGTAGAAAATACCCTTGTTTGGACACGCAAATTTTGCTACCACATCATCCACAACCTGTTTTCTTACCCAATGGTCTTTCCACGAGTTCATAATGACAGCAGGGCCGAGAGAACGAGCAGGGTTTAGGCTGGCCCCAGAAGATGGGATCTGTAATGGAAATAAATTAACAAATTCACGTCAGTTTTTTATGCGTCTGGCCTCTTATTGATGATAAATTGCGTCATAACATTGTCAAAGTGGCTGTGGAACCACGAGCAGGCGAGTGGTTCCGCAGTAAACTGGTCAAGACCCAAAACTGGTCAAATGCTGGGAATGATTGAGGGGAAAAGACGCCGTAAACTTGCCATAAACAAAGATAAGTGAATTTTATTAAAAACGTCGCGAACATTGTCAATAGCTTCTCTCATTTTTTGATTGGCTACTTAAAAAAGTCCATAAAATCTCATTGGTTAAAAAGTTGGCAGTTTAACAGCTAAAAGTCAAACTTAAATCTTGCATAAAGTAAAATTTTATTCGTCTGTACTCTTATTTATGATTAAAATGAGCCAATCAGCGCGCGAGAAATTAGACAGTTACGGTATTGTAAAAAGAATAGTTCACAGATTCGCACATGTGACTCTGCCTTTTTCCTTGCCTTCTCGTTGGAAAATGGTCCTTATATTTGTAAAGCGTTATGAAATTTCTTGTTTTAATTGCCGCTCTGAACTCAAACAAGGCATGCTATCTACATACTAATGTTTAGTTCCTACCCCATGCATAAGACAGATGAACACAGTAATTCCAATGGCCAGCGGTACCCCATAACCTGTCATGCCCCTGCTTGGGTCGGTGACCGCGAAAATCGCGAAAACCAAAATGTAAGTGAGGACTAGCTCCGTCACAAACGCCTGCGCAGTGGTGACGTCATTGGCGGGTGCTGTAACTCCTAAAGCTCCAACAGATTGGCTTGGAGTGATGCCGTAAACAATGGCTGCCCCACAGATGGCTGAAAAGGAAACAAAACATGAGCAAATTTTGTCTTTAGAGTTGAGCTTGTAGGGCAAGTCTACATACGAGCCAAGTGGCCCATCAGGCCGGCGCTTATCACCGATTTCTGTAGCATGAAGCGACTAGGACTATTTCTACTCCCCCCTGGATGGGATGCTGGTCCATCACAGGGTTACCCCCAGCATTAAACTCATTTATACACCCGCATGGGTGGAGACAGGCTCTGTGAGAGCTACCTGTCTTGCCACCGCGCCTTCCACAGCAAAAGGTATACTCCCTTGAAAAAGAGTCATGTTAACAGTTGCGCAGCTCGGAATCTTAACATTTAATATATATCTTTGTAGTATAAGACTTGATATAAAGCTTGGCTTACCAGATCCATACCACCATTCCAAAATTTCCTTACTCTAGTATAGAGAAAGGAGAACGAATGGGAAGCGGGTTGCACGTGAGAATGCTGCCTACCAAATTGACCCATCAAAGGGCGAATATTACAAGAGAGATCATAATAGTTGATGTTGCTTGTAAGGCGTAATGGAGGAAAATGACAGTCATGTATTTTCCTCGGAAACATTCCCCGCAATAACAGATAACAACATTAGACAGTTCTTCCTGGATGCTCTCTGTCGTTTCTCTGTACATTCATGTTTTCATTTACAGTCTTGTCTGAATTTAATACCTTCTTTTGGCCGAGAGGTTAGGTAATTTAAGTAACTACTGTTTCCATGGTTTTCCCTTATATGAGATCAATCTTTAACGTTAGCGTGTTTGGTAAAAAAAAAAAAAAAAAAAAACAGGGAAAAAGAATGTACATTAAAAGAGTTAAAAAAAGACAATCTGATTGTTTTCTTTCAAAAATAACGCTAATTGAGAATAAGGCTGATTGTCTAAAAATAGAGTTAGCCACAAACTTAACTTCTATTTTCTTGTACACGTATTTCTAGTTTTAAGACAGCTTTTAATCTACTAATTTCTTCATGGGACTTCTTAAAACCAGTTATATCAGAGCTATGCATAACTATCTCATCGAGAACTTGAACGGCACGAATTTGTAATTCTTGACCACATATTTCATTTCATCGCTGTGGGCTCTTTTGTTTTATGCCTGAAATATTCTCCTTGGTCCAATGGGTTCGAATTGATCGTGTTAACTGTATTATCTTTTCAAGCTCTTTTATTACACTGAGCTTGCTTTTGACAAAACTTGATATACTGACTGATATTGCGTTCATAAGTGGAGGTGCTAATCTTCGTTTGGCTTTTGCAATAGTCCCAAGTCTGATGTGCCTTCCATTTCCTGACGTGAAGTGTCTCGTGTAATTGACTAAAAACAGACTTCACTCTCTCCAGAGATTTTATATTATTTTTTTACGCTTGCTTCAGGCTCGGATGGGTTTCTTGTTGCTTTTTGCCTTCATTAAGATTATTTTTAAAACGAAGCATGAAAATAACTAGTCCTGTCTTGAAGGAAAAAAAACGATTTATTTCTCGTCCTGAAGTGAGCGTTGCGTTCCCTCTTACTTTATGTGAAAATTTCAAAACACGTCATGTGTTATAGGAGTTTGTTTGCGATCCACTCTTATGTAAATATCTGAAGTAATGTGAATTGTCACGTCATTCCATTGAGTGTTGGCTTTCAATTCCGGTTTACAAGAGAAGCTTAATAAAGTGAAAACTTAATCAACTAAAGCAACCTGAAATTAAGTTCACTTGTTGTTCATTAAGTATAGAAGAACTCGGCTGTAGCCTTTTAGAAATCCCGTGACTTTTTAGCTCTATTTTAACACTCCTCCGGAAGAGGTCAGTGCTTTTACGTTTACCAAAATAAATCATCCTACAACAGCCAAATGCTTTGAATCGTTAGCCAATTTCCTGAATAGCGAATTTTATATAGATCTACATTAACTCTCTCGAGACCGAATACTATTTTCTATTTGCATAAATCCTTACCTCCCGTGCACTGCGCTATGATAAAGAAGAGAGCTTTCAACATTGAAACTCTTCCAACGGCCATCATAGAGATGGTCACGGCTGGGTTAAGCTGTCCTCCGGAAATGTGTAGAATAGACATGGCAAGAGTCGCAATGCTCAGTCCATGGCTGAAAGCAATGTGCATAACCGAAGGAGGGCTGTAGTTCCATGGTAATACAGTCCCACATACCATGAACAAGAATAAGAGTGTTGCTAAAAACTCGGCGAAGACTTCGGTCCAAAATGATCGGGAACGTAACTCCATTTTACCGTCTCGAAGAAACATGTTTGCGTCGATCCGTGTTAATTATATGTATGGACCAAAACAAGACCGGTACTCACTGTTGTCTCAGTGTTCAAAAGTGCAGGCGATGTTTACTCAAGAGACCTTATAAAGCCCCCACAGCTACCGGCTTTCAAGGGCTAGGAACAACCGAGAAGGACTTTCAAAGTCACACATGCTGATTGGCTAAATATTCGTCATCTTTCATTAGCCACTTGTCGTGACTTGATGTGGATGACAGACTTGAGTTTGAGACTATCTGTCATTGTTGACTAAAATTGGAGGGAGGGTCGACTGAGGGTGGAATCCGTGAGGGGAAGTGTTAGTGGGTTAATGTGCACGAGAAACTGAAAGACTTTAAAAAGTCTATCTTTGGGTTATAGGCTGGCTCATGGTCTTGTGAATACGGAAAGTTGACGAAATTCTCCGATTGGGAAAGAACTACAACTGTTTTGAGTCGCTGCACACGTCATGGATGGCACTGGATAAGCGACTCCACTCTACTCAATCAAATTTGAAAGACAATCACGCTAAGTCCATTCTCCATTATTTCAGCCCGTGGCCGGTTGCTTACGAGTCGCGACCATTCTTAGAAGCAAGCAGCTCTATTTGCGACCACGTTTTCGAATTTTCCAAGCGTTCGCTTATGAGAGCTTCGACTGTCTCATTTTTCGCGTGGCAGCCGAATGCCACCATGTGTATCGCGCAAATTAACGTTTTGAGCATAAAAGCAGTGTAACCATTAATTTCATGTTTCTGAGAGAAAATGGCAGTCAAACGTAAACCTTAACTTTGTAGGTCCTGAAGATCTGTATGTCGAGTGGAAGAGATATAGGTCGTTTAGAATCATTATATCCAGATGACAGAAGTGTACTAGTATGTATGAATACGACGACTTTATCATTTTTCAATGTTAATAACGGTATCAATGCAACTTTTCAGAAACTTTGACTACATCTCCAGTAAAAGTTTGACGCACCTTGTCCGACCGAGTTCAGATAGTGAATAATACCTTCAGTTTAAAGTTGGAGCGGTGCACATCAAAGAAAGTCAACCCGAGCCGTGTAGCTGGCAACAGTTTCCAACACTTTTCAACAATTATACGTTGATTGATCACAATAGACTATGATCTAGTTGATCAGTAGCGTCACTGTATATCAGTTGATCATACAATAATGCTATCGCGAGACCGGAATGCCAAATCATTGGTAAACTTGAAATTGTGACCATGTCGCTGAGGTTGCAGATGACCATGTCAACAGTATAACCTGATGAATTCAGCCTTACTCTAACTTCATGCACTGGCTTACAGCTCAAATTTGAGCTCGGTGTTCGCCTTTTCGGAATGGCCTGATAGTTAGACTTCGGATTGCGCTATTAAGTTTTCATGCTGAATTAGACCCGTGATGGTGATGTGTCCCTGGGCAAGATACAAGATACCGGCGTCAATTATGTTTCTCAGCTATCTGTTTTGTACACGGAGAGATCTTTGAGCTGGTGTAGTAAGATAGATCCAGGTCGTGTAATTTAAATAAAGGACTGTACTTTCACAAACGAGAGGATTATTTTCCAGTTTTTTCGTTTGGGACAGGGAGACAAATCAGCCAAACAGGTGGCGGTTTCCCTGAATCGAATGTTAGTCCCTGTAAAACACGACCTAAGCTTCACTGAAATTACCCTCGTGGTTTCATGCCATGGGGACCCTTCTCAAGTACTCACAAGAAAGCTATATGTCATTTGCATACGCTCTGCATTTGATCATAATTATCCTGGGATCTTGTTCAGATCCTAACTGTTTTTGTGACCCCTTCAGATACTGAATCGATCGTGACGGAAGCCGGAAATTTTATACAAGTAAATTTTAGTGGGTACAAAAGAACATAACGGCTGTAGTAGTTGCAAAAGAGGTGGTTCATCAGAGTGAAGCCTTATTATTTATTTAGTGTTGGCTCTTTGGGTAATTCTGTCAATTTTTCATCCAAAAATGCAAATGTTCTTCTTTTTTCCTCAATCACTGGTAAGGACATTTTTGGGTTTCCTTTTGCAAAAAACTCCAAAAGAGAAACGTTTTAGGTTTTCGAGATATCGGGAATAAATTATTTTGAATTTCTGTCTACTGTCCATTCAGCGTCGTCAAGTTACTGTAATTCTTAAAATTACCGCTAAACTGTCGAGGGACTGTTCTGAAAGGTCTTGAATCGCAATGTCACTCTACGACCTTTCACGCAATTGCCAATTCAATCTCAGTTTTTTCATTTTAGTATTTCATCTTTCTACGTCTTGAATTATTTTCGATGTCTTTGAAGAACCGAAACATATTATGTCGGTTTCCTCAGACGGAAAAAGGACAAGCAGTCGTTTCCTACTTTAAGAGCGACCGTTCTGGAGGAAACTCGCCGCGCTTCGTCTTCAGTTATTTATTGTGTTCAGAGCCGTGTTTTTTCCAGTGAGTATCTACTGTTTCAATGTCTGTAAAATGTAGATTTTCATCGACAATATAGTTGCCTGAGTCTATGCTTAGAGTTTTCTGCCAAAACATTATAAATCTAACACTTCCGATCATAATCCCTCAGACCAGATACCGAAACGGCAAAACTGCAAAAATAGGTCCGCGGTGCGTACATGCAAGGGCATAGAATCCAAGTGGGGAGCTCATTTAATTTTGGCAACTCAAAAGAAGGGGGGGTGTTAATTGGAAACGGGCTACTTTGTCAGGACAGGGTGCTCATTTCACTTGTTTGTTTATTTGTTTGTTGGTCAATTGGTGATTTTGTCTGAAATATTTGAACTGCCCAGTTTGGAAGATTGGGAATTTTCAAGCTGTAGGAAAAAGATCTATGTACGCTAGATAAAACCTAGCGAAGCGAAGGTCCATTGCGTAATGCCATCCTAAGTCAGGTCAATATCGAAGTGATCTCTGCGTATGTCGCGAAACAAAATATACTTGCATGTTAAGAAAGGACTAATGCTAAAATACTAACGAAAGAGAAAACGTACATTTGATGATTTCTCAGAGGTTTTAACAACAGCCCTTTTCTAGCTAGGACATTAAAATCTGACAAAGAGGTTATACATGGGACTGACTTGGAACAAAGTAGCTGTTATAATAAAAGAATAGTTGCATTTCTATGGCGCCAGTTCACTAATTGCCCAAGGCGCTTCGGAATAATAATGTGTAAACATAGCTGAACTGAAAAAATTTAAAGATTTGGAAAAGACGTAAGTTAAAATGTAACTGCATTTTGACTGTGAAGCTTAAGGGAAAGAGGTAAACTTTATGAGTGAAAAAGCAGTTTCTGCTCTAGAAAGCCTTACACCGTAAAACATCGGCATCTACTTGTGCAGTAATACATGAGTACTTTAAAAGTTTTAGATAACTGAGAACGATATGGAAAACGCTATGATTAACACAACTTACAGTGCAGCATACATCAAACCTTGGACGTAGATTGATAGACAAAACTCGCTTCAAAATTATCATTTCATTAGTTATTTCAAGTCTTTAGGCTGATTTCGATGTCATTATCGAATTAGACATGGCAAGTGTGTCCAAATATTTCAGGTTTCTTTCGATTCCCTCCATATGCCTGTCGCCGGTAACGTCCTTTTCCGATTTCAGACCAAAATTGATCGAAAGCGTCTTCGTACAGCTTACTTTCTGTTGTAACTTTCAGATCTTTCGTGAACTTGCACATTTCATTTTAAAAATGTATTCACAGATTCCCAATGCAGTTGAATTTCTACTTGCTTTCCGCTCCCTGTAATCCGCAACGTATCTACAAACTATATTATAATGAATTGCAATGTATCCTTACCTCCCGCACTCTCCGCTGCAATAAAGAACACTGCTTTCAAGATTGAGACCCTTCCAACGGCCATCATGCAGACGGTCAAGGCTGGATTTATAAGTCCACCAGAAACGTGAAAAACTGACATGGCCAGAGTTGCAATGCTCAGTCCACTAGTCAATGCAGTGTGCATAACAGAATTTGGAGTGTTATTCCACGTTAACCCTGTTCCACAGGCTAGAAACAGGTATAAAAGTGTAGTTAAAAATTCGGCAAAGACCTCGATCCAAAAGAAACGTGAAAGTAGGTCCGTTTTTGTGCCGCAATGAAATGTCATGTTGTTGTATTGATGTGTGAATTGATTCGAGTTGGAAAGAGGTATATAAGAACTTATCTATTATCGACCCGGTCTTCGCTTCTTCAAGGGAGCGAAACGGAGACCACTGCTTTGGATGTGTGAGCAGCCTATCACCTGACAGAGCGTGCTTTGTTAATTGACCCTGGGTCTCCACGGCTAAATTAACACCTTGGGGCAAAAACGTCTTTTGAATTTACGGTGCAAATCTGTTTGATGGTGTTGCAAAAAGAATCTTGAACGGTTGTGCAAATCATTTAAGTGGCACTAGCCGACAGACGCCGAAAACGCATCAAGCCTGCAGGTACTTGCGTTCCGCCTCCTGCAAATTCGGGCATCGATATCTCAAAAATAGCCACCGTCTACTGACCCCTAAACAATTTGGCTCAATTAGGTATCATGCTATTCTACGAGCGACCCGCTCTCACAGTATGAACATTTCTTGCGTAACAACCCGAACAGCGATTGTTTGCTGATCATAAAATCACCCAAAGTGGCTGCAGGAGCAAGCAGACAACAACTACCAAAACAGAGCTCAGTAATGGGCAATTTCCTAGTTACTTTGTGCCTCTGTTTCAAAACGAGTCCTAATGCAAAACCTTTCATATGAAAATGGGTTTAATTTGCATGAAAATGAACCTGTAGGCCAAACACATTTTCATTTGAATGGTTTCGCACGAAGTCTCGTTTTGACACATAGGAAAAAGACAACTCGGAAATGGCCTATTTGGTACGTTTAAGTTATTACGAAAATATCCTCTTTCTGCCTTTTTTAAAACAAACCATAGAGTTGCCATAAAAAACCTATTAAGTGAGATCTTGAAAATACCGCAAACGTGCATTTGCTTTGCGTGGTTCCTGTTCTCTTGTCACGATGGTGGGCGGCCTGCATGGAGTTGATTTTGACTCCATTTCAAAAGAAATTGAAGTTTCTGCAAAACTTCTTTGAAAATGATCATACGTTGATTTTTCTCTTTCTCGAATTGGTCTCTAGATCGAGTATTTCGGGTTGGCACACCGGCTGCGGTGGAACACAACGAGGCACCACTAAACCTGACAAAAGCATTCTCTAGGGTCCTAGAGGAAGAGAAGGGGGGACCGGCGACGGACTAACATCTGATCAAGGGGGGTAGTGGAACATCATATGTCAGAAACCGGGGCCGGGTAAGGAGGGCGATATGGACCACTTGGCCCGAATGCAACAATTTGATCGAGCGTTCTTCCCCAGGATGCCGGATGTATTTTTTTGCCTTCGGTAACTTTCTGAACGGTCACAAAGACTTGATAAACAGTTTTTACTTCAGACTACCAAATGTGAAGACTGCGTGTAGTGGGAAATCATCATTGAATAATTAACCAAGCCTTGATTCTAGTCGTTTAGAAGGAAGCTAGAGTGCTGCAGCCGTTATGATTATCTGTAGCTCTACCCCATTACTCAATCGTGTACTCAGCTCTAATCAATGAAGAACTCAATGCGTTTATTTTCACTGAGTTACTGACTGATCGACCAAATTTTAGAGGAATTTTAAAATTTTCGTCTTGAGAAATCGAGTAAGTATCCTTCAAATGCATAATATAAGTCTTACAATTATATACCGTTTGATACGTAGAGTAAAATCAAAGAACAAACAAACACTGACTTTCTAAAACGACTAACAAATCTAAACTAGAACTAAGTTAGAAGTGCTCAAAACTCATCTGAAGGTTGAAAACAGCCTACTTTAAGTCTTACGGCTGTGACAAAAACGTAAAAATCTAACTACTCCTACTTGTATTGATGTAACACGCAGGACGTCATTTTTTCGCCTTAAGTTCAATAATCAATGTTCCGGAATATATAGAAATTATAGTTATCTGGGATAATTTACATACAGTTTCTTAATCAAACAAGATTGCTTGTCGAATATTTAGTGGAAGAAAAGCAAATGATTCAACGGCCTATGAGATGCCCAAAAGTGTTGAACCAAACAAAATCTTCTTTTGATTTGTTATTCAGCAAAAAGCTTACTACAGTTACGAATTTCTATATTTACTTCGCTAAATTTCACACTGTTCATAATGAAAGTTTTTCGATCCGCATGTACATTGAAAAATCTTTAGACCACTTTTGCGCTCGTAAAATGTCAAGCACTGACTTAGCTCTCAGCGAAAACATCGGAAGCAATGCTTGGTCATGCTTTGACAAGCTACATAAAGATAAAAAAACTAGGCTTTCAAAAAAAAGCTAAGCTAAACTCAGCACGATAACTAAACAATCTAGAGGGCAAGGTTTTTTCTTTTAAAAAAGAAGAGCGGAGCTGCAATCAGCCGACAGTTTACAGCTTTGAATCTGCGTAAAGATCCAATTCGTTGACTGACTCAGCAGCGGCGCCCATCTCTTTTCGGGATCGAAAAACCAACTGGTACAGAAGTGCTGCCACCAAACCTCCTCCAATTGGCCCAGCCCAGTACACCTGAAAGACACACAGATATGTTTAAAATGACAGGCGCTTCGAGAAAACTTAGTCTTGCAGAAGTGTCAGAAGCGTACGCAGCAGTGTTGAAAGGTATCATGGGTAGAGCTGGCTGGCTACCACCTTGTTTAATTAATCGAAGTTCACGGTGTTTCTGCGTGAAGTAAGAAGAAACCATCTATTTTGGTCTCATCTATTTTTCCTTCCATTAGTCTGGAACACCGTGAACTTCAGTGATCAACCATTGGTATACTGAGGAGGGAGCGTGGCAAAGTGGTTAGGGCGCCGGACTTGACATCCGGGGGTCACGGGTTTAAGTCCCGTTCTGGCCACCAGCTGGTGTTGCTCTCGGTAGTCTCGATCTCGCAAAACTGCAAAAATGTATGGGTGGCAAAAACGCTAATGAGCCCATACGTTCTTTGTAAGATTTTGAGTTTTTAAACTCGTGTGACAAATAGTATTCTATATTTCGGGCTTAAATTTCTTGGGGCAGTTAATCAAGCCACGCCTTTTTAATATTCAGAATGATACAGACTATGATTTGAAACTGAAGAGCTTATGAAGGGAACAGTTTAAACAAAGATTCCATTCAAGATTTAAATAGTTGGCAAATTGTCTTTTACAACCCCGTATTTATTAAAAGGGGTGCTCTAACTTTCAAGGCTGGGAATGAAACCAAAGTCTGTTCTAATTCTAATGAAAGTTATTTGCCGGGAATTTCTTATGTTCATAGTAGTGTTAATGGTGCTGCACAAGTTTTTTATTAAGCTGGTGAAAACTATTGACCAAGCAGAACGTTTCTGTGGTTTTCGTTAGAAGACTGTGGATGAAAGCTTAGTGAGAGGCCATTTAAATATAAGCTATATAGCACTGACTACTTTATCTTTTTAACTACTTTATCTTTTTAAATTTTTGTCAAACATAGCACAAATCTATCTTGAAAGATATTTTCTATTCTTTTCAAATTTGTATCAGAGCTTATCTGGCAACGAAAATCTGCTTTCTGTAAAAGTTTGATATTCGGCGAATGCTTATTCATTGCATTTTTTTGAGTTTCTGTGTAAGATATCTACCTCGCCAAATACGTTTTCACCCTTAAACAGCCTCTTTTGTACTGTAATAATCTAGAAATATGTAAATTGCTCAATGTTAGACCCTGTAATCACATACCCAGTGATCCTCCCAGATTTCTTTTTTGTTCATGATGACCGCTGGACCAAACGAACGTGCAGGATTTATACCACATCCCGTAAAACCAATCTAAAAGTAAAACACAAAGTTAAATTACGATGCAATGTGAGCCAAACTAAAGGAAGAATTGTGGATCATGGTGTTTATAGCTGTGGAAATTAGCCAGCTGTATATCCGCCATAGATCTGAATTACTTTTTCAGTTAAGGAGGAGGGCAAAGATTAAATATCAGATATGCAGCAAACTATTGTTTTAGGTCGGAAAATGCTGCAACAATTGTTAAGGGAATCCTTTTCCTTGTTGCTCGTAAAAACGGACAAGCAGGAAGAAAACGAGCTCTAAATCCAAGAGGAAAATGCTGGATTTGAGGCACATCGGGAAGAACTCAAGATTTTACTGGTTTTTTGTTGTTGTTGTTGTTGTTGTTGTTGNAATAGATATGGGCGAAGAGTAAATAGTCTGGGGTGGGGAGGGAGGGTGGTGGAAAAGAAGCTCTTAACGTTATTATTATTTCTGTTGTTGTTGCTGCTGCTGCTGCTGCCGCTTTGTTTTTGTTGTCTATGTGTCTGTTTTTCTTTTCTTCCTTTATTTTTTTTGGGGGGGAGGGGGGGGGGCGTGTGCATGTGTGTTCCTTTTATTTTTTATGAGACTACTTTTAAAAAGAAAAATTAAAACACGGTGTCGGCCTGTGTTGTGGTTGCTGTTTGAGGTTTTCAACGAGTCTTAACTGATCTTAACTGCGTCAAAGTGAGCTTTACCTGTACTAAGTTCACAATAAATCTGGGGCACTTACCATTTACATGGGAAAACCGGAAATTCCAGTTGGAAAATCAAATGGTTCGCGCCATTCCGTTTGGGAAGCTTCAGAAAATATGGGCTGTGATTTGAGGCGATGCTATTTTTCTGCTGTTTTAAGTCTCTCTAGCTGATGTGGATATACTTTATAGCGATTCCCTCTCCCGCAACGTGGCTTTCAATTGTTTGATGTTTATGCCTGAAATTTCCAACCGGATGGTTTTTGTAAATGGTAAGCACCCGTTGCCTCCCAACAAAGGTCCGCAATGCATCTATAGAAGTGTTCTATTTCAGAGATGTTACAAGTTACAAGTAATGATGGTTTAACCGCACTATTGGCCCAGGCAACCAATATGTTTCGTTTCTTGATTGTTAAACCCTTAAGGTCTATAGCGTCAGTGTGAGGTAGGCTATAAATTTAGAGACCTTAACTCACCCCAATAAAATGACACACAGCTACACAAAGGCCGATAGACAGCGGGACTTCGTATCCATAGTGATTCCTCTTGGAGTCTGTACTAGCGCACACAGTGAAGACCAGAAGGAATGTCAGCAATATTTCAATCCCTACCGCTTGTGCCGCGGTCACACCGGGGCCTGGGACTGTCGCTCCCAGGGTTCCGCGTTTCTCGTCAGGTGTGATGTATTTCAATACCGCTGAGCCAGCGATACCTTGTTAAGAATAGAAAGATATCTTATCATTTTGATTGAAAAATGTAAATTTGCTGCATGTCTGCATTTTTCAACATTATGACAAAACGGGTTTGTGTGCATAAAGACGGTTTAAAAACGGTCCGCAGTGCGTGCAAAATCTTTAGCTTTGGTTTGTAAATATACGTTTTTGTTTGTGTGATGTCTTTTAAAAACATGTTCCCTTATCTACCCCAAAACCACACCACACTCGATCATTTGTATTTCAATTAGTAAATTGAGTGTTATTTAGTTTTTTATATAAGAGCCATACAAAAATCAGTCAACCAAAGATTGCCCTGATGCAGAACCTCCATTTTGACGAAAAATATTTTCGCGATTCACAGTGAGAGCAGAATCATTAAAGTGTCACGTATTTTTTTCAGGCGAACGTCACTGCGCGGTTGAACCGGATATCCGTAATATCTTTGGCCCACCCAGAATGTTCGGTATTGCCTCTATGGAATTTTTCAAAAATTGTTTACACGACACAAAATGCTTGCCAATGACAACATGTGGAACTCACAGTTTGCATAGACCCAAACCGAAAAAAAAAACCACAACGGCAATATTGCACCTAATGTTGTAAGACAGAAGGCGTCTTTTTTAGTCCGGAATCTTGTTGACTATCAGCAGCATTGCTAGCAAGTTTGCAGCTATTTCCTGCCTTTTTGCTGCCCAATCACTGACCCGAGCAAACAATGTGTTTCTCCTCCCTGCCAATCGTTAGAATTTCCCATTAAGTCTTAACTTTCAGAGATTCTGATATTTCACCAAGGTCATTGTCCATTTATACTTATCGATGCATTGTTCGCCAATGTATCGGTTTTGAGAGAATAATTAAGGTAGGTGTTGCCTTGGGATGGGAACTCATAAGAGCTTTCCACTTGAACTTCGTCTTAATGGACGGAAGAAATTACCATTAACAACGTAAGCTATTGATAAGATCTGTATATCAACTAGCTTGATGTCTCTTAAGATTTTGACCGACCCCGTCGGGCGCCAATGGCGATTTTAATTGCTTAACTCTTACATGAAGTTTCTAAAAATAATAACTCAAAAACAAAGGATGCTAGTGTGTATTAATTGATTGTGTATTATCTCAAAGGTGATGTTTTTTTCTCCGAGACGAAGGGCACACGTTCTTTGTTTTTGCTTGATCAATTACAGCAAATGGGAAACAGCCACGCTTTATACAGGCATTTGCATTTGTATTCCACGCACTTTTGAAGCCCTTGACAAGTTTGCTGCAAAAGACGTCAGTTGATAAAGTAGCTTTCGCTGGGAAACAATGACGGACAATCAAAATGGCGGCAGTAAACCCAGATCTTTGTTTCCAAGACATAGTCAAAAAGTTCAAAAAACTGAAAATTAGATACGTTTTCCACTCGACATTGCATTGTGTCTAACAACTGGTAATTCTAGTCTGCTGGAAGGTTTCAATTAGATAAGTGATATAACAATCTTCATAAGCTTACATAAGTATGAGTAATAATCACTCTAGAAGTCCCACTTATGCCCTTTTAACATGCATGTTAAGTCATGTGTGGAATGAAAGCTTTCTTGGGTGAAAACATTCTAAATATTTTTAGAATTTATTCCAAGTGGTATGCGAGCCAAATACCTGCCATAGCGTTTTCGTTAAGCGTCAGGGGCGTTTTCTATATTCAGTTTGCCAGCTCTCCTCTGGAGGCGACGACATAAAATACAAAACCCGCTTCGGTAATTTTCATTCAGTGAGAGAATTGAACAAAAATGTGGCGGTTTTACAGACGATTTAACCAGGTCCACGAAAGCTGTTATTAACCCACATGACTACCATAACTTGTGCTCAGCCAGTTTTTTTATTCAAGTCACGTTTTTCGCGATTGTTTCGTGCCTAAGATTACTCTTTTAGAAATAGTATAACAGTTCAACGGTGTTGTTTGGATTGAAATAAAGAAAGGTCGGCCGTTATTATTCGTTTTCTATGATCATTAGAAGTTTGACAGCATTCAATATTGCCATTAAAGGACATTGAGAAGACTAACTTTGTTAGAAGGCGAATTTTTGTTGTGCACCTTACCAAATTAACACTACATATATGATTGGTATGAAAAGAACATTTGCAAGCGTTTTCTTTTTTTCTTGAGAAGAGCGGGCAAACTTTGTAGGATAATTTCTGTCTTCCTTATGCTTTTAAGATCGTTGGTCTAAATGCGTTCGTTCGTTCGAAACGAAGTTACTGAAAAAAAGACTTCCTCTTACATCTATAGACATTATCTTTTTGCTATCTCAAGAATCTTCCGTTAGTCTTTCACCGAGTCCTAAATTCCGAAGAATCGCTGAATATAGAAGGTAAAAGTAAAGTTGTTTACATCCTTTTATAATTATGTACCAACAATGCAAACACGTCTTTTATGGTACACTTACCTCCAGCCAGCTGAAAAATAACGTAGGTTATCCCTCGAAAAACGGAAACTTTCCTGATGGCCATCATGGCAATGCTAACGGCGGGGTTGATGTGTCCGCCACTGAGATGCAAGCTGCACATGGCCAGTGTGGCAATGCTGAACCCAAAGCACAAAGAAATCAGTTCCGTGGACGGTGGATGAAGCGGATTCCACGTGATGGTTGTACCAGTGGTAAGGAAAATGAAAAAGAAAGTCGCAATCAGCTCCACCAGGGCACTTGCCCAGAAATGGATACTTTTCAGCTCTGACATTAGCATCATTTCTGCTCGCGTTGACTGATCCGTCTGTTAATAAGCTTCCAGCTTGGCACCTCTCCGTTTGACTATCTGGCAACGCTTCAGAGGACTTGGCATTTTATGTGTTTTGTTGATTTTTTGCGTCCGCTTTGGCTTTTGTAATGGAAATGAAGCACTAATTACGATATCGAAGGAACTAGAACGTGATAAAAAGTTACTGAGCTTCACTCGCCTGATTTTATTGTAGTTCCGCTTTCGCTGACAATGTAAAATTCAAAAGCAAGATGCTGTTGAAAGTGGAACAAGTATGAGCCATGGGAAACCATTGCCAAAAAAAGGGAATGAATCCATGCAAACTCCCTAATTCCCATTCAGGAGTTGTCAAAATGTAATTTCTCCTTCCAGTATTAATCAACTGTTAAACAGACAGATGACAAGAACAAAGACTAACTGATAACAAACAAGAGGGCATTGTTGTCCTATGCCATCAAATGTTCACGGCTGACATGTGGAGTAGCCTTCAAGGACGACGAGACGTCCACACGCACGGTAAAGAAGGCTGCATTCACCAGCCGTGGTAAATTGATATTTCAGGAATGTCACTAATGGGTTCAGACACGCTTGCCTAGCGTAAGCTTAGAGCTTGTTAAGTCTAACTAATTGCATAAGGTATTTCCATTGTTCAGTGCCAGAACACCATATGCAAACTTAGCTTTACACCATTTCAAACTACGAGTTCCGGCCACAAAATGGTTCCGAAACGTCGACGGGAATGTGTCAAGAAATATAGGTTTGCATGCGACGTCATCGGTGCCGTGTTGCATTGACGGCAAATGACAAAAGACTTCTATTTTACTTCTCTTCTCATTTATTATTCATAAACGTTACTTTGCTGCCACAATTTGTCATTTTGGTTCCAAAACAGGAATATTTTGTATAAAGTACTTTGGCTCTCTCTTGCCACCTGCCTTGTTCTATGATTGACAAATGAAACGAGACTGGCCTAGGTTCTGCAAACAGTGCCTGTTTGTTCATCTTTGTGTTGATTTTTGTGTTGCTTGGCCAACTGGGTCAACACAAGCTACTTTGGTAGATTGAGGCAACTATGGCAAACAATTCTAAATGGCAATAGATTTTGGCCACCTCTCTGGCAAAAAAACAGCCAGGTAGATTTAATTAAAGATTTACTGTTACAAAAAAGCTGCAGCTGGTGGTGTCTATTTATTTTTCTTTGTTAGGAGACATTAGCACTACCAGGTTACTCCGAAATTTGAATGAAAATGAAGTTATGTTTGTATGTAGGTATGTCTCTGTACGGTGGTTTTATAACAAAGAAATAGTGTAAATAACTCACGGATTTAATGGAGATGATGGCATCAGTAGCCTTACTGGATTTTAGAGGAGTGTGTTTGTCATTCATCCAACGATCTTAAAAGCATAGGTGCTTCATTCTTTACACACGTTTTCGAAAACGCTATTTTAACTCCAAGGTATGTTTTTTTTTTGTTTGGGCGAAAAAGCCCAATTTGGGCGAACACCAGATTCCACAGGAATGACCCAGTCCACCACAATTGCTGTAACAGTGATGACGGTCTTAATCTTGTTTTGAGTTGATCCTTATCGGTTTGAAACCGTTCTCCCATAACGCTTAGATTTACTGGCTTTCTCACGGAGACCAGCTTACTTATCCATACAAATGCAGTGCTTTCAGTGTGTATGTCTCCCATGATAATATTGCCGTTGATGCGAAGAATCTTCCAGTCACGATGCTCTGGCACACAGGATTGACATAAAAAATGCGATCAAGGCAGCAATCCAAATATCAGTCCAAATAATACATTTTTATATATAGGCCAGTTACCAAGCCATTCATAACTTTGAGTGACAACCGGTCATCAGGCTGTTTCCAACTTAATATTGAAGAGTGTTTTGTCTAACTAACGTCTTGCAATGTCCGAAGCCAAAATAAATATGTAATTACTGACAACAGTGCCAATTTAATGAATACCTGAAAAGTGTGATGCAATAAATGTCAAGTTCATCTCACATATAGACCTTACTCCCACGGTAATCCCTCTCAAGTTATTTTTAGGTATAACATTCAGTCCTTTCCCCGGCTGATAATATTTCCATACGCACTGCGTAGATCTGTTTTATGGAGGATAAGAATGCGTGTTAAGCCACTTGGGCTGTACACTTGAGAAACATTCGCTTCGAAGGATTGGTTACTTTGAGGTCCTTTCAAGATTTTTTTAAGCTGGAAGTGATCTGAGAACGGTTTGAGGGGGATTCATTTAGGAATGGGGGTGACATGTGGAATTTACTTCCTTACCCTCCATTCCGGCTCTCTTGGCCAAGAAAGGTCATACTAGACAACAACGCAATCCAGAGCTGCCGAATACGTTCAGTATTTATTTGTTTCAGCTAGAAATTCCTTTCATCAACACCGCCTCAAGCTGGCCGAGTTCCTTATTAGTTAACGATCCAAGCCGTCCTATTGCTGCAGGTACTTTCAGATTCTGCCAACTCCAAGTTAGTCTCATCCAAGATCATTTCACTATTTGTAGTTTAGTTGGTAGCGAACGAAAGGCTGACTAATTGTTCCAAAGATGGAAGCAGAAATAAGAGATACGAGATTTTATTAATACTGAACAGGTTGTATGCATGCATGCATGTGGTACATGTCTGGAAAGAAGATGGCTCGTCGATCGCACACTGACAATAGAATTTGTTTTGAGTTTTGTTCTGAATATCAAGTGCATGCTAAAGCCCTGACCAAAACTGAAAAAAACTTGCAAGAATGTTAAGGCCCACCTAAGATTCACTTTTCAAAACGTATTCACTCAACTACAATGCTGCTTTTGCAGAGGTTCAGGTCTATTTTCTCTAAACATTTGCAACGCTTCAACTCCTTCACATCCGAGCCACGCCTGCTGCTCTTGGTCAACCGGTGGTTTCGAGCATATGGTATACAAGGATGTATCAATTTTTTTTCTAGTTTGTTTATGAGTTTGTATCTAGTTCAAATTTGGATTCCCAGGATACTCCGCTTTTCTGTAACATTTGGTTAGTTGGGAAAGAATTTGTTCGTTGTTATGCTAGATGGTTTTGAATGATTGAGGTCAGCATTGGTACAACACCCCTCCCTCCCTCTTCTACTCATGATCACTTAGCTAATTTTCATATTTTAAAAACTTGAATATCTCTAGAACGAAAAGAAATATTTCAGAATAGTAAACAAAATTCTTCAGACTTCTTGTCTATGTTTTAAAATGGCTTAAATTTGAAAGATGCGATTTTCGTCATAGTAGCACTTTAATTAAGGCTCTGCCGCAATATGACTGATGGAGGAAATTAACTGCCCGGCCGTCGCTTCAAGGCCCGTCTAACTCAAACCTGCTAACATTTTTTTAAAAACTGTCAATTACCGTATAAAGCAAATCTGTAAAATGGTTTGTAATGGAAGATGCAGTAAATAACAAAAGTGAATGTTATTTAAGTAAATGACAAAACACAGGACCACACAGCATTTTTACTTTTCTTGCAATATTAGTTACGGAGAATTGTTATACGAGCTAAGTGTTGAAGAGGCGTATTGGTGAACCATTACTTCCCCTCCCACTTCTCCTCTCGACTGACCCCGCTTAAGGTTTCTGCCGTGATATCGCTGACAAATAGAGATTTACAGCCTCCAATTAAACCCTTTAATCCTTACGTCATCAATATTTCAATATCGCTTTAAAAATAGGAATGCTGTGTTGTTGCAACTTTAATTGGAAACAATGCTCCAAATAAACCATTGATTTTATTGTTATGGACAGTTTCCCATTTTTTTTAAACTAAGGCTCCTAGGAAGCTGTGAATTATTGTTAGAAAAACAGTAATAATTGAGTCGCAGCTTAGATCATCAATCTTTTTGAACTTTTTAGTTGAATTTGTGAAGTAAAATTTGTCGGTTGCACGGTTTGTTTTCACCAGTTTGAAAGACAAGCATGCACGAGATGGTTTAAATACGAGAATGCGACAAAGTCCCACGAAATTTTCGATTGCGTTCACGAGTCTAAATCTAAAATTATCGTTCTGGTATATTTTTATGTAAATGATGTACCTAACACAAAGGGAATAAAGACCACATATTGAAATACTTCATTACCTAATTACTCCAACACCCGAATATTGGTTAATAAATAATTAAGTGAATTCAAGTTGGAAGTTTAAACACAATGCGGAAAGTTTGGGATAAACCTCCGACGACAAAACTGATTTTCCAATAATTAGCCACACGGTACTTTGTGTCATGGCGCCTTCAGCGTATTGTTTGGTTTTTACTTATCACCCAATCAAACTGACCAATAAGGAAAGCTTGTTGAATCGCTTCGAGCGAAATCCTGTTGCGATCACGTATAACAAGGTTTCCTTGGGCAAATGATCGCCAAGATCGCCGATCGTATCTCAGCTTTGGGGAAACTGTAAAAGGTTTTTTAAATGTTGTATTTTACGGCCAGTAGGAAAATATGGCTGATTCAGACTCTGGTACCCATGTAACGGACATCAGTGAGAGTTTTCCAGACGATTTTGAGCCAAGGAAAGAAGGTACACGCAATAGTTATTTTCCTTTTCGGGGAGTTTCAGGCCATGGTACATTAATTTGCTTATTAGCACTTTGTGCCCGTGTCCAAATATTCCCTCGTCAAAACAACTCTGATCCTACCGCGAAACCCGTTTTATAGTCATAAGTTCTTATAAGGTTTGTTCACGGCAAACGATGTCATTTTGGTCAGCAAATTGAAGGTTGCTGGTGATTCAAAATTCTTCCAAGCTGACAAAAGCGGTCTAATTATATCGTTTATGGCTCTATTTAGCTTGCATATGAGATGAAACGTTTTTTTTAATATCAAAGGCATGAACCGAGTAACCAGGGTGCTAAATATCTGAAGCTCCGAGGTCATTATATTTGTACGAAATCCTCCCTGGAAAAAAATTTCTTCACTTGTTTTGTGTATTATTAAGCGAGCTTTTCTTGTAATTAAGGTAAATTCACTTTAAAATGTTCACGTGATCTGGAGTTATCTCGTGTGAAAACGTTTCTTTCCAAGCACTTGCTGGTGAAAAGTATATCAGATAACCTTGGCATATCTTACCGTTGGTTATAGGAGATTTCCGAATTCGACCGAGTGTAAAACGGTTTTCCGGCTAATGCCCTAAATTCATTAATATATGCTTTTCAATTCGTATGATTGCGAGCTAGCCATAAGTTGATTACAATTAAAACAAATTAAAGTGTTCTGCAGCATGGTGACACTTCGATTTCGTGCGAAAGCGCGCCATTTGGACTCTCAATTCATCATACCGAATAAAAAACATAAACACAAACTAAGGGCTCACGTAAGTTCAAAAAACTTGTAATAGTGGAAAAAATTACAATCTGAAAGTTCTGAAACGTGGTATAAACAATCGGTGAAAACCGCCAAAAAGGGATTTATGGATACTTTTTAAAAAGGTACTTGATCTGCTTTCGCTGCGCGACTTGATAGGTTGGGTAGCTGATCTCATAGCGGCTTAAACTAAACTTTTGACTGCTGGCGTCATCCGAATTTCTGCATCGAAAATAGAAAACACGAATAGAAATAGTGTCAAATCATGAAGTAAATTACAAGGTGGTTTGTTTTTCTCAGTTGGAATCCGTGCAAAAAAGGCATTGATGACTATAATGTTTGAGTCATCAGAGCATGTGATCTTGAAATGATCATACAGATTATACTTATTATGTCATGGATATATTTATCGCACTGACATGTTCTACACACCAAATTCAATCTGGGTTTTGTGAACGGGAGCTTTTAATATTTGTGCTGAGCGGTAATTGGTACGTTCAAGCTTGCGGGTCTTTCTGTCTGTCCTGGATACAAATAAATCGCATAGTTTAACCTTTGCATCTCGTCCTTTGTGTTCCGGAACAGTACTGCATCTTGTCTTTCATTTCATTTTTTGCGTCATCTCTGAACGGTTCCAACAGAGACAACTTAGCCTAACAATCACCTTTCCGTTCTTTTGTATAGCGTCGTCTTTAATGGCTGTAATCAACTGTCAAGCTTTTGATTAAATATATCCAGAGCTCCTCCATATCTCCACCATTTCTTTGATGACCGACAGTTAAATTTCCACCCTTTAATTGTTGGCGGTTAGCCGCATTTAGGTGGTTATTTTGCAACTCTGAAATAAGGAACAAGCAGTTTTTGATGTGCAGGATGTGGGGCTTATCATAAGCATGTTCGGTCCATAGCCTTTCCCACCTTATATATATTTGAAAGCGATTCTTGAACCTTCTTTGGTCCAATTCTAATGTATGCATGATGAGGACACCAATTAAAAAATCACACCGTACTGATGAATAACGCTTAGGGGTATTTCAATAAACTTTTTTTCTGTCTAGCAACACTGAAAGGAGTCGTGAATTAGGTGAAGACATTACAGTATTGGCTAATATAATGTTACGAAACTTCACGTTGCAGCTTACATTTCTAAATAAAATGACATTTTCGTGTTTTTTTTTTTAGCTATACTGCAACCGGTAATGGAAACAGGAAACAGTTTGCCCAACAACATCCCAGAAATGACTTCGGCTGAGATTAGCGGAGACGACAACGCTTGGAATCGATCGAGCTTATTGTCTGCAAGTCAGCAGCGTCGAAACAGTACGGGAGGCACTCCTCGCCTAATACGACACGCCCCAGGACGAGCCACCTCGCCTACTCCAACCATACAAAGCCGAACGTCATCGCCGGCAAGTTATGCAATAACCCATGCACCAGTATCTGCCTTCCACGTGCCCAATCAGGGTCCGTCATCTGCTCGTCACATGCCACACCGTGGTACATCTCCGGCGCGATTTGGTTCCAGCCGTTCTGCATCGCCTGTCTCCGCTCCAGTTCGACACTTGGCAGCTCGTGGGTCTTCTCCCGCTCAATTTCCAGCAAGTAGAGGGAATTCACCCGCGGGGCGTGTGTCCCATCGTAAACCCAATCCCACTGGACGAGCTAAAGGTCATGTTATAACACCAAGGAATCATTTGACCACTGCCAACGTACATGCAACTCCGAGAAGACACAAAAAATTGAATGGTAATGTTACCACTGCGCGGCGCCCCGCTCAGAACAGGACTCGGCGCTCTGCCGCTCCAAAGACGGTTAGCTATGGTGACTCACTGAGCGAAGGGGATGGAGCAGGATTTCTGAGAACCTTGGACAGTATCCCTGCACATTCGGGATCAAGGAGTGCCTACGATTTCGCCGAAGCCAACAGGCGTACCATCGCCAAACCCAAGCCCAAATTGAGACAACTTGATTTCACAGAAATAGACCTTGATGTGACTGAAGAGCTAGAAGAGTCAGACGATCAAGCTGATGAGAAGTCATGGCTACCAACAGGAACATACGCTGTGTTCCTAGTTACTCTCTGGACGGCTGTGTTGAGACTTATCGATAGTGTAGAGGGGAATGGTCCTATGGCTTGTTCTGAAGGCGAAGAAACTCGTCTTTGGATCTGCGCAGCGTTCTTTTCGCTTGTGCAAGGTCTTGCGGAGGCCTTCTGGCAAAGAAAGAACCTGCTAAAAGTCATTTTCAGTATGTCCTGTCTGTTTGGGTATTTTATCATTTCGCATATTCAGCCTCTCTCGTGTCGTCTTGGAGAGGATAAAGTCACGGAGATAAGCAAATGGCAGGCTGCTATCAACTTTTTTGTAAGTGCGCTGTTGGGAGTTAGGATTTATAGGCACACTTTGGAATCGATGCAGGAACGAAAGATGATAAGGGAGAGAAAGAAGCGTAGGAGGCAAAGTGAGGATTCAGATGATGAAGTCTTTGAGGGATTACCAGAGGCTGTATTATAACTTAGGATCTCAAAGACACTTTATCAAATGCTGATCTTACCCATATGCAAACTATGACGATATGATAGATATATGGTCTTTCATATATTCCCTTGCATATGCAAACTAGTGACTCGTAACTGCGACAAGAACTTTCCTCGTTCATTCTCCTCTCATTTGTAAGGTACTAGAGTGTTTCCAGGCTTATTCCTTCCAGTATCAATACATTGTCCGGCAGGCGCGAAAATCATAAATTAATTGAAATTTTCTTGATTTGCCGGCAGATTCTCAAAACCAAACGATAAAAGAAACCCATGGAATCAGTGAGGAGAATAAACATTTTTAGCCTAGGATCGGTGAAACGGATGAAAATCTAGCGGTAACCAGAATTGGTCGTGCTACTTCAATAGGTGAGAGGCAAATTTATGGAAAAGGGGAGATTTCAAGTATTCTTGTTGCACTGGGAAAACAGCTGACATACACAGTTATTCCAAAGCACAAGCAAAATACTGGGAAATGCGGTTTCATTATGAACCCAACTGGTCTGTGCGCTGAACGCCAGAACGTAGAACTAGCAAGTCGTCCTTGTATTATGTTCTTGGACAGAGCGCTTTACTCTAACAGGATCTCTTGATCTCCCACCCCAGTGAAAATGTATCCTAGCAAATGGTAAACGGGGGGATTAATTTGACCAACGCTGGTGGTTGAGTGGTGGTAAATTAGAACAAAACTTTCTATGTACGGTCTTCCTTTTGATTAAAACACCTTGTAAAATTGAAGCCTTACCAAAGGTTCTCTTGCTAAAATTATAGATGACGATGTTCTTATCGAGAGAACTACATACAATAAGAGATCATCTTAGATATGATCTGTATTCAGTTTTGCGTCGTCCGGGGAACTCATTGACATCAGCTAGTATTTCATGTGTACTTCGTTTCCCGCGCTACTTAGTTAGACTTCAATAAAAAATACATTATTTTCATGGCTCCATTTTTCTTGGCTATCGAGTATTTTAATCTTTGTCCTTCCAGAACTTGTACCTCGCTACGTAACATGTACTTTTCCCTCTCCGTTAGCCACTTTGCAATCACTAGGAATTTTTGATTGTCTAGTGACTGCGAGCTAATGTACCTACCTCCTCCCCATCGCCCAGGTCTCTTTTGGAAGTCATCCTTTGCAAGGATTGTGGAGGGCGAAGAACGAACGGTTCTGTCTTATAATGGCATGGGTACGACTACAGTAACATTTGCTTTTGTTCAGTAAAATGAATAACAGTTTCGATTTATTGCACTTTTTAGAGCTTAATTAAAACTAGTAAATCGAAAACGTCTTTTGATACTCAAGGTTTATAAACAATAGCCTCCATTTGATGCGAAAATATGCTCGGGTATTTGTCCGCGGACATTATCTGTTCCGAGAAAGAAATAGTTTTCCGAAAGCGTTGCTCGAGGAAAACCGTGAGCTTTGAGGAAGAGAATTTTTTAAGTGAAATGAAGGCTATTGTGTGTTTACAGGAGCTCCTGGTGTTTATTATCCTTCAAATATTTTTCTCAAAACGCAAAAAATTGGGGAATATTGCTCAGATATTCCCCAGTTTAGCCGGGGCATATTCAGTCACGTGACGCATTTAGCCCAATCGCGCGCGAGAGAAAATATTTGTTATCAATCTCTTGTTGTTATGTACATTTGCCAGCTCATTTCGAAATATTCTTAAGAGCGCTTATAAGTCTCTTGAGCAAAACACTGCCCCTCCCCCGTCCAACCTTGTTCGTTGTAAGGCCCACCTAAAACCAGAATATTACGCCATACAAAGATCATATGCGGCTCAGGATTCATATGTCAATCTCACGGAGGGCCTTAAATTTTCTAAAGTGGGAACACTGGTACAAGTTTCTTGCACCGTACCTGAAAATATGAGCTATATTTCAATGTTTGAAATCTGATTTGCTTAAAAGAAACTACATGTAAAAAAACTCGAGAGAAAAAATTCATGATCAGCCCACACGAAATTTATCTCGACAGCTTTTGATCCTATGCGGAAAATATCGCGAGATGATATGAAATCGGGAATTGATGTTGACGTTAGAACCTGCCAACTGCAGGGCGGCTTGATTGATCAACCTAGTTGGGAAAACAAATTGCTCCAGGGCTGTGTTGCCGATGCGCGGTCTGCATTCTTATGTTCAAAACAGCAAAGTGCATGCTCAGTACTTAAATCAGTAATATATTTTTTTCTCCTATATAAATCATCACAAACCGCCCGTATATATTTTCCTCTGCAACGCCGATTACGATAAGATGTTAATCCTTCGAGTCATGCAAACAAGAGTTTACTTTACTTTTTTTTTAATTGGACACTCAACCCATAAAAAGAGGGACACACTGAAATAGCTGAAAAAAAAATGGGACTAATCAGCTTAGAATTTTTAAGCCGGAAAATCGTTTCTCAGTGGAGAATTTTATTAAGCAACATAAATGGCATGAACTTTAGAAGTCCACACCGAGCCAGGTAAGCGTTCTGAGGAGTCTAATTCCATTGTTATACTGATACCAAAACACGAGTGAATTTTCCAATTGCTTGCCTCATTGCCTAAACGACCGGTGTTTCCTTTAAAGTTGATTCGCTCCGATGCCAGAGGGGCTAATTTTGGTTTACTAATTAATTCCTCGCGGCGGGCGGTTTATTTTTATAGTTTTCGACTTCGAGAAGCAGCCGGCCAGTTAGATCCGCGTTTACCTTAATTCTATTCCCTCCATACTGAGCCGGCGAACTGTCATAAGATTAAACCTTTCGAGTACCGCAAAAGCTCTTTTTTTTTTTATCGTAGAATAAGAACGGAGAAGTGTTCCGCTGAAAATCTTCCAGTTGAAATAAGCATCACTTGTTTTACCGCCTTGTGAGGCGAGTCCCTTCTCTTCAGTTGAAAACTGCGCACAAATAGGGCATGAAACCTGGGTGGATGGTGATGAATTTTGGTCCTTTTCTTCTCTTGCGGTTTTCGTTCTTTTTTTTTTTTTTAAAGTACTGTAAGTAATTTACGACAGTATTCCTTGTGTGTAAACGACCGTCAGCATCTTTTATCGGATAGCAGTGGGTTTGAGTTGTGTTATCGAGTCATTGAATTGCATCAGATCTTTTTTATTGCTTTTCCGTCACCATTTTCATTCTACTCATGATGACAAGGAAAGACTGCAAACAGATCTTTGTGGTTATTTTTAAATTTAAAGTGCGGAAACGACCAGCTTTTCCCAGCTTGCCACTGATAACACCACAAAGATACAATGCTTTTATACAAAAAGAACTGCAAAACACACGATAACAATGGTTGGTAACATACATACGGATATTAAGTATTACTATTTTAGAGTTTATAAATATGCAAAATGGGCTTCATATAAGTGTTTTTTTTTTATTGACACCGGCAGAAGAGATAATGAAACTCTATGAAAATCGTGCAAGAAGGCAGAAATGACGTCACGACGTAAGTATACAACGTCACTGTCGCCGGAGAACTTTTTTTGCGGCAAAACGTACATCGTCTTCTACATCCTATCAATTTATCAAGCAAAACCGCTCCCGAAAATTTAGCTTAATAACACTCAAATACCGAAATTAGCAAAGGAGGCTTTTAGAGAAAACAAGTGTTGACGTTGATCTCGGGCGGACATTTCTTTGACAATTACTTTGCCATTGTTCAAAAAACAATAGGACAGGAAGAGGGAAACAATGGTTATCATTGCTGGATCACTAAGCAGCAGGTAAACAGTTTAAGTGCTTAGTAAATTTGCATAGCTATCTCGGTTTTGAAGTTACCAGTGAAGGCGCTTTATGAACCGGCTTTGCTTGTGTAAGTGGAGTTCTTGTGTACTATGGGCAAGGGATTGTTGTTTGCGCTAGTTCGCAGAGGCTCAAAGTTAAACTATCTAGATGATACAGGTAACAAGCAGTCTGAACGCGAAGGGAAAGTCCATTATGAAAAAGCGAAGTCACGCTTTCAAGTGAGCGCTAAAAATGAAACGACAGGCAATAATGTACGTGAAGGGAACGATTCTCAACAGCTCACAGCATTGAAGGAAGGAAGAAGTACGAGAAAAAAGCTGTTTGATTTGACTTTACGGAAGCTTTCCAAAGGGTGCAAGATGAATCGGCATTCACCTGCTTGTTCAAATAACACTATATCGACGGAGAATGCTTTTGGACAGGGAGACATGAAGTCTGTTCATCGCAGTAAACCTATGCTGGTACCAAGTGTGGCTAGTGGCTATTTCGTAAACGAATGCGACAGTGCAAGCAAAGAGACTAATTCGAAAGATCACGAAAAAAACGTGCCACGCATTGTTTTAACAGACCACGATCCTGGTAATACGTCTGCATGTAAATCATTCGAAAATCGTCCACGTGTGCAGTATTCTCGATATGCTGGTTCTCTACCACAGTTACGAGTCAACGAAAAAACGACACGCCCGCCAAGTTGGAACGGCGATTCCATTTCAAAGCTGAACGATTTCACAGACAGAAGATCAAAAACTATAAAAAACGGTTTAGAAGTGGAGCAGAGTCCGGGATTCCTCGTGGGAGCCATGGCTATTTCAGTGTCGCCCTCTGCACGGCGTAAAAGTCTTCGATCGGCGAACTCTTTGCGTCCGAAAAGCCGACAACTGATTAGACCAGGCTCAAGTATCGAGCGCAGAGAAATGGCTGCGACGTCAGACTGCGAGACTTTATCTTTCCTAACAAAGGATCACTTTGTGAAGAGAACTAGTTCATGGAGTCGAGGAGATGAGAAAGTTAATGATTTTATTAGTGCCAGACAAAATAGAAAGATTGATATTTTTCTTCCGACGATGTAACAATGAAAAGCTATGTTCATATCAGTTCATAGGATGTTTTTGTGGCATTAATCGTTTAAAATGCGACGATACAAAAGGACAAATTTCATACATACGTAGTATACGGCTACTACAACAACAACAACAACAAAAAAAACGAAACAAAACACAACAAATGAAAAAAAAATTACCCCAAAATTATACTACTCGGCCTCTCCCGATATCATTGAAAAGAGAGTATATGTTTTGTTATCTTTAAGAGCCAACGTTTTAAAATGTAACTTACTAAATAAATATAAATAATAAAAATGAATGAAGTATGGAATTTTTAGTACTCTGAGAGCGTATGGCGAGCTTGAATCATGCGATATGATCCTGTGAAAGTTGATTTCTTTACTAGTTGATTCCTCCCCCTCTTCGAGGAGGGAACGAGAGAACAGGATTAAAATGAGGGATTTAGCCTCCGTCTCTTCGCCTCCCCCTCCCCCCCACCCCGCCCTCGAAAAGCCCGACACTCAGACTACTATTTGTTCATTGAGTTATTTTTTCACATAACCGCTTTGTTTGAACTAATGTTTAAACAATCTCGCTTCAACGATGATTAGCCTGCTTAGAAATGGTACCCATCTGCGGGAAAGCTAGGAAATGATCATCTGTTGTGGAACCAAGTTTACTTATAGAAATTAAAGTAAATGACGAAATATAGTCGACTTACTACATTCGCCAAAGGAAAACCTGCGAACAGGCTCCCGGTTGGACTTAGGGTTTAGTGCGAGCTAGCTGAGTGCGGTCTAGGGCGAGCGGGGCTAGCTGAGAGCGGAGTGGTGAGGAGGAGGAGCGCGACCACTCGCTTCTCTCGTGGACTTCGCTCGCGGAATTCTTTATTTCGCGCTAAATGGCTCACTTCGCTCGCCGAATTTTTTTCCGCCCTCGCTAGGAGCCTGTTTGCAGGCTAGCCTAAGGAATTCAATTCAGTTAGGATTTGTTAATTGAGTAGTTGTCATTTGGATGTAGAAAAGTATTAAGTATTGCATTACTACACTACACGATTGGCCTAAAAATGCTCGCGGCACTTTTTCATTCAATCAGAAGTAAAACTAAAACCAATCATGACTCGCTTAGGCACGCGTCAGTTTCATGTAATTGCTTCGAGTTTTGATTGGTTTACTGGGTTTTCTTTGCCCTTTGTGATTGGTTAGAGTGATTACTTTGGTTTGATTCAAGGGACCGTGTGGACCTTGTGCCTCCGTTTCAAAACGAGTCTTCGTGCAAAACCTCTCATATTTAAGCAATAGAACACCGTGTTTACATAGCGTCATCTAAACACGAGGAGGGTTCGGAGAATTCGAGACAGTTATGCAAACCCTCGACTACGTTTCGAGAACTCCCCCAACCCGCGAGTGTTTAGATGAGGCTATGTAAACATGGAAAAAGTGCTCTATTGATTTTATAAAAGTAATTCTCAAAAATACGCGCGAATCTAAAACGTCACAACGGTGTTTACGTACTCTCATCTAAACACACCTATCGACCAATGAGAGCGCGTGTAGTAGCTCAGTTATTTTATAAATGAAAATGAGTCTGATTTTCATGAAAAAACCTCTTGACGGAACATATTTTCATATGAATGGTGACGCACGAAGACTACTATAGTTTTGATACAGAGGTAAAAGACAACTCGGAAATGGCCTATTGAAAACCACTCTAACAAACCTTCGAGATAATTTTATCGTTCTGTTTCGATTTAGGCAATTTCTCTACCAGGTCTATCATAATTATAATTTTACAGTTCATAGTTGGGAGGTTTTTTTTATTATTTGATTTAGAGGATTCGTTCGCGAGTGCATTTTTTCAACCATTCATTTCCTGGGCGATACTGCAACCTCGTGTGCTGCGATGCCTGTGCTCAAATTAAAATGAGAGGTTACCTAGCTCTGAAGGCTTGGTTCCTTTGCTTTGGCGCCCCTCTGTCAACTTGGCGTCGTCTCAGCGTGTTCCATAGTGAGCCCTGGGAGCGTTGATTTCGGTTCGGTTGAGGCAAGCTACTGCAGAAATCACAAGCTGCGTGCCATGTAGAGCTCTTTACAGCCTTAATCTCGACGAGACCTTTAAAGAAGAACATACCATCACTAACGTACCTCAAGAGTTGCAGAACAGCTGAAAGACAGCTGAAATCGACAAACCCACGTGGAACGTCAAGCATCACGTAAGTCACAGCTACATTCATTCGTCTTTGTGCAGCTGACTTTTCCTTTGTTCATTTGTCTTAAATTTGAATGCGAAGGTTCCACTGCGCTACTAGGGAAGTGTAACGTCGATGGCATGATATCCACATGTAATATTTTTGTCTCAACGAATGATCGCGGTTATCGAACTTTGACTTGTCGAGAGGCAGCGTTCTAAGGCCCGTTCCAAACGCCGCTCTATTCATGCGCCGAACCTAACTGATGAGTAAAGTACGGCAGAAGAGCGGCGTTTGAATCAGTTTGGTTCGGCAGGTTAGGTTTGGTGCGGCCAAAAATATTAAATTCGGCAGGGTCTGTCGCACAATGCGACGCTTGAGTAGACTGCAAAACAGTCGTATTTTTTGCGAACGCGAGCGACGGTCAATATTCGAACGAAAGGTCCGGAGCGAGTGTAAAAACGGCGAGGGAGAATGGGGACAGACGCTAAAAAATACGGCTGTCCGCCATGCATATGTTAAATTCGTTCAAAATTACCCGTTCTTCCAGCAACGGCAAATTCCCATTGGTTTAATTCTGACGCAACCTGTCATCAAATGTCACTCACACCTCATCAAAAAGATGTAGACGCCGTTTCAGTTTCACAGTAAAGACAGTAGTTCTCGTGGGAAAATGGACGACGTTGACTTGGATGCGCTTCCGAGCGATTTAGCAGCAGTCCACTCGTAAAAATTATCATTTTACTTTCAGTATGAACAGCTAGCTCACTAAATGCATTGGCAATATTCCTCGAAATTTATAACTGAAGATGGGCAGGTCGGGTTCCTCAACGGCCATTCGCATGCATGAATGACCCCAAGAGCAAGCAAATATACACGCAAACAATTTATTACGGCACATATTTGTCTTGGGGCTACGGACTGAACAAGACTTAAACGTCTTCTAAACCTTATAACTTTGTAAGGTAATAAGTTATAAGATTTATAGGACCTTATAGGATTAAGTATTGTTTAGTCTGTAGCCCCAAGAAAAACAGGAAAAATACGTGCAGAAATAATTTGTTTGCGTGTAGATTAGCTTGCTCTCGGGGTCATGCATGCGAATGGCCTTTGAAAACCCCGAAAAACGTCTTCATTTGTATATTTCAAGGCATAGTTAATGCCAATGTATTTAGTAAGCTAGCCGTAAATACCGACAGTAAAATGATAATTTTTACGAGTGGACCGCTGCAAGGGGTCTCTTTTCCAGGTAAATTTTGCACACAGTCGGCAACGAGACATCCACCAAAACTTAGGTTTTGTCTAGACGCTTTTGTGCTGAAGGTCGTGTGTGATTGAAAACCGCTGTAAGATGTGGGTGGAGCTGTCAAGCAATTTCTGTCACCTTAGTGACATTGTACGACCCCCGCTTAGAATGAATTCGTTGTATGAAAAGCCGACAGTCGTTTTCTCGCCTCAAACACCCTATGGGCGTGTGAGGCTTGTGCGCTTCACACATGAGGATCGAGCTTACGGTGTTTGCGCCTTCCGAAGACGTCCGAAGACGACTGTTTTGCAGTCTAACATTGGAGTGGCAGCTGATTTATACGGTGTTCTCCTTATGGGTCGAACCTAATGCATAAATTACTGTAATGTATTTTTCATATAACAGGACTCGTGATTGGCTCAAAATTGAGTGGCGTGACCAGTCATGCATTTAAGAGAAACGGGACTGTACAAGCGAGTTTCTTTCGCGCAAATTCATTTTTTGCTTTTTCTCCGTGATAATAGCCCAGATTATGCGATTTCCCTTTAACAAG